TGTGTATTCTTTTATGGATCTTAATTGTATGTTCTTTAGGACACTCTTTCATTTTGTTATCTATATCTATCTATACTATATTAAAAACATGAACGCGCTTAGCGAAATGTAGTTCGCCATTTTTATCTTTTAAAAATAGAGTTAATATTGGATAAAATTATAATTTGATTATTTTCCTAATATATATTTAAGAATTTAAAATCAATCAAAAATTTTAGTTATAGTATTTTTCCTTATTTGAACTAAGTAGAAAGTCCCTATATTTAGGACTTTAAATTAGTGTACAGTTTTTCTTATATAAATCCTAGTCTATTTTTTGCCGTCAATCTAGAAATTGAGTAATTTGCCTAAAATTTTAGACGGTGACCTTTCTGCACGAAACATGTGTAGACAATAAAATTGCGTCAAGAAAATAATTAAGACCGAAAATATTACAACAATTGTTGTATTTGAATTCAAGTAATATGAGTGTTACAATCTCTATGGATCCTCTAATTCTATTTTTTCAATATAAATTCAAGGGCCTTTGAGCTTGATCTTGAATTTGAATTTGATTTATCCGTCGCGAACACTTTGATTGTTGCTACGAATTGTATCACGAACAAATAGCCTTGATCTTGAACGCCTTGTATTTAATTTGACTTCGTTCTTGATCTTGAATACTTGAAATTTATGTTGAAGTACTTGAATGCTTGAACACTTGCAGTTTGCAGAGAATTGTGGCCTTTGATCCACGAGCTCCCTTGTGTCTTCTTATTATAACTTCTGGTTCCTTTTCTGGGTTATGAAAACTCCTATTTATAGTTATGGGAGGGAAGAGTTATGATAAGAACAAACTCTTTCTGACCAATCAAATTGAAGTATGACAAGGCCGCATTTGATTGGTCCGAAAATGTCATTGGAACACGTGGCGCAGTTTCATTGGCCTTTTAATTTGACTTGGCATGCCTCATCATTTTGACACGTGGCACGATCCTATTGTCTCTTTTATTTGACTTGGCGTGCCATGTCATTTGACACGTGGCACCAAACTGGGCCTATAGGAAGATGATATCTTGGGCTTAATGAAGTGGGTTCATCACTTGCAGGCCAATTAAATGGATTAGCCTAATAGATTTGGACTCATTTATTTAACCCATGTGTATTTGGACTTATATAATTAATCTAATTATATTAGCCCATAATATTTAGTTGGACTAACATATTTAATATATAGTTCAAATTATTTTCTTGAATTTAAATCCAATAAATTTTGTATGTGTAACGACCCGACCGGTCATTTTGCTTTCTAGAACCTCATTCCCCTAAATAAGACTCCTTGTATGTACTTTTACTGTTTTATGACTTACAGGGATGGTTAGTTCGGGATTTGGAAGGGTTTGAGTTGAAATCAGAGCATTTGGTTCCTTAAGATTGGCTAAAAAGGCTAAGTTTGACTTCGGTCAACGTTTTGAGTAAACGACCTCGGAATTGGGATTTGACGGTTCCAATAGGTTCGTATGATAATTTCGGACTTAGACGTATGTTCGGATCGGGTTTTGGATGACCCGCGAGCGTTTCGGCGCCTAATAGTGAAAGATGGTTTCTTGAAGGTTTTTAAGTTCTTTAAATTTGGTTTGGAGTAGGTTTTGGTGTTATCGAGGTCAAATTAAGATTTTGAGATCGGAAATAGTTCCGTATGGTTATTTAAGACTTGCCCGCAAAAATTGATGTCATTCCGAGTAGCCTAAGTATGATTCGGCGCGTTCAGAACGATTTGGAAACTTGAAGTTCATCACTTGATTCGATTTGGTTTTGGGATGTGATTCTTGGTTTTGTTATTGTTTTACGCGTTTCGAGAGTTCGAGCAGGTCCGTATTATGTTTATGGACTTGTTGGTATATTTGGACGGGGCCTCGGGGGGCCCGGACGCCATTCGGACGATGCGCGGATTGAGTTAAGACTCAAAAAGGGTTGTTGGTGCACCAGTTCTGGTGTGCCCGCACCTGCGATTTAACCATTTGAATCTCTATCTCTCCAAACTCTAAACAAATGAGATTTAATTACTTGGAAATTGGTTAAAAGAAGAAATCACGTAGTAAATTCCCCGTAGGCTTGCCTAGCAGCGACGTTAGGCGCCATCACGGCCTATAGGAGAAATTGGGTCGTGACAATATGGTATCAGAGCACTAGGTTCACGTAGGTCTCACAAGTTATGAGCAGGCCTAATAGAGTCTTGCGGATTAGTACAGAGACGCTCGTACAGAGAGGCTATAGGGTGTTAAGAAACTACTCTTTCTTCATTTTCTATCGTGAAGTTGATGTAGTACTAAGAATTTTTTTCTCTCATTCTCTCACATATGGTGAGAACGCGTACAACAGATGTACCAGACCATGGAGGAGCTGCTCCCCCTGTCACTAGAGGCCGGGGGAGAGCTCCAGTTCATGGTAGATGATGAGGGCATCCTAGAGTTGCTCCAGTTACACCACTAGTGGATCAGTAGAGGATCTCATTGTTAATGAGCAGGTTGAGGTGCCTGCACCAGGACCAGCCCCGGTGGATTTCATGTCAGGCCGTATATTGTCAGCCGGCGGCGTTTATGGATTTAATGAACAAGGTATTCAGGCCGTATATTGATTCGTTTGTCATTATATTCATTGATGATATTTTGATCTACTCGCGTAGCATGGAGGAGCATGAGCATCATCTGAGAGTGGTACTCCAGAACTTGCGGGAATAGAAGCTATATGCTAAGTTTTCCAAGGGTGAGTTATGGCTAGATTCTGTGGCATTCTTGGGACATGTTATATCAGGCGAGGGTATTAAGGTTGATCCCAAGAATAACGAGGCAGTTCAGAGTTGGCCTCGTCCTACCACATCGACTGATATCAAAAGATTCTTGGGGTTAGTAGGTTATTATCGTCGGTTTATAGAGGGCTTCTCGTCTATTGCAGCACCTTTGACGAGATTGACCCAGAAAGGTGCTCTGTTCTGATGGTCCAACGATTGTGAGGCGAGCTTTCAGAAGCTCAAGACCGCCTTGACCTCAGCACCGGTGTTAGTGTTGCCTTCTGATTCAGGGATATATACTGTGTATTGTGTCGCTTCACGCGTTGGCTTGGGTTGTGTATTGATACATGAGGGTCGAGTTATTGCATATGCTTCACGTCAGCTGAAGTCCCACGAGAAGAATTACCATGTACATGATTTGGAGTTGGCCGCAATTATTCATGATCTTAAGATCTGAAGGCATTATCTTTATGGGGTGTCCTGTAAGGTTTACACCGATCATCGCGGCCTGCAGCATTTGTTCAAGTAGAGAGATCTCAATTTGAGGCTGCGCATGTGGCTTGAGTTACTGAAGGATTATGATATCACCATTCTTTATCACTCGGGCAAGGCGAATGTAGTTGCAGATGCCTTGAGCAGAAAGGCAGAGAGTATGGGTAGTTTCGCATTCATTTCAGTAGAGGAGAGGCCACTAGCTTTGAACATTCAGTCCTTGGCTAACAGACTTGTGAGGTTGGATATTTCAGAGCCCAACCGAGTTCTTGCATGCGTCGTCCCCCAGTCTTCACTATTCGAGCAGATCAAGACTCGCCAGTTTGATGATCTACACTTGGTGGTTCTCAGAGAGACGATATTACAGGGTGGTGCCAGGGAGGTTACTATCGGTGAGGACGGTGTTCTGCAACTTCAGGGTTGCCTATGTGTTCCTAATGTTGATGGTTTGAGGGAGAAGATCCTAGAGAAAGCACATAAGTTCTCGGTATTCTATTCATCCAGGTGCTATGAAGATGTTTCGCGAACTGAGGCAGCATTATTGGTGGCGTCGGATGAAGAATGACATAGTTGAGTATGTTGCGAGGCGTCTAAATTGCCAATAGGTCAAGTATGAGCATTAGAGGCCATGTGGCCTACTTCAGCGGATAACTATACCTGAGTGGAAATGGAAGCGCATTACTATGGACTTCGTAGTTGAGTTTTCGCGGATCTTGCGAAAGTTTGATGCAGTTTGGGTCATTGTCGACAGGTTGACCAAGTCGGCACACTTCATTCCGGTTGTGACCGCGTATACTTCAGAGAGGCTGGCCTAGATTTGTATTCAGAAAATAGTTCGGTTGCATGGTGTGCCTGTTTCCATCATATCAGATAGAGGCCCTCAGTTTACTTCATATTTCTGGAGAGCAGTACAGACTACAGAGTGAGTTGGGTACCCGGGTAGAGCTTAGCACAATTTTTTATCCGCAGACCACCACCTACCACTACTATCCTCAACCATAACCACCACCGACATCATTATCGACTACCAACACCTACCACCCCACCATTATGGACGATCACCTCCCACCAACTCAATCATTATCAACTACCACAACTAGCATTATCCTCAACCAAAATCACTCACATCTTCTACCACCACCGGCATTATCCTCAACCAAAATCACCTACCTCATCTACCACCACCAAATACCTCCACCACTATTATCAACCATAGCCGTCACTATCCACCATTATAAACTATCATCACCTACCACCATCTTCCTAAACCATAACTATCACTACCAATCACCCTAGCTACTACCCAGAATCACAGCTATCAACCAAAACAACCATTAATAACCACCATCAGTCGGCATCCACAAGCACCATTGCTAGTCATCATCAACATCAATTACCATATTATTTTAAAAATAATATTTTATTGATAGAATATTAAATTAATTAATATTTTTTAGTATTTTATATTTATTAATTTTTAAATAAAGATAAGTTTTATATATTCTGATGTTGAAAAATAAGCATTCTTAATAATTTAGTATTCAAATATTAATACAATCTTAATATTCAGATGTATATTCAAATTTATTTATTTTAATCTTAATGCACATCTCAATATTTAAATATTTTAATCTTTCAAAAATAAATGAGGTCTAAGTTACTCGGTGGCAACCCGAACGGGCTTCTTACGAATTTTTCACTTTTTCTTTTTTTCTTTTTGGGATAAGCAACATTATTGAATACTGAAATTTCCTCCTCCATTTAAAGACACGGATTCCGAGGAGTCAATCAAGCTTCTTGTCTTCAAATAAGACACTCGTCGGTTCTTAGAGAGAGAATATCGCAGAAAGAAAAGGGTTTTTTTAATGGAAGACGCAGCCCCTGAGACATGCATGCTACGTTTTAGACCTAATTTCTAGAGTGAGATTGAAGATTTACTTCCATTGAAGGTACATGTTTAAGCCATTTATCAATTTTTAGGCTACGTGCGTTCTATACATTTTGTTTGATTTGTTGCATTTATGCAGAAATTGAACTAAAAAAAAATGGTCTGATTAACAACACAGTGTCTCGTAGTAGTAAGTACCAAACAAGCTGCTCTTGAAATGTTTGACTACTCTTTACCATTTGTCTATGAAATTCAGTTCAGAACAAGGACTTGAATAGAAGCATATTCATTTGTTGTTGCATGTGCAATATGCAATTGGATATGATTCCTGTATAGTATAGTAAATGCTTATTGAGAATGAAGAAAATTAGTAGTAATTCCTTGTTATGCCTAATGTATTTCAGTAAAGAACCTTGTGTTTGGCATTTTGTGGGGGGAAGCCTTGGGTTTGTCATGAAGCATCACATTTTGACTTTTGGTTCTTTATTTGTTTTCATCCACCATCACAAAAGGATAAGGAAAATGGCATCAGCTTCTACAGAGGAAGTGGTGAATGCATTGATGGAATACTTAGTTGATCCTCACTTGCCTTTGAAATCTTCTGCCATTAAGGAACCTCCCTCTCTTTCTCAGCAGCTCTCTGTTGCCAAACAGGTTAACAATACCTTCTCTCTTTACCTTCTATACTCATTGCCTGCCCTTCTTTTTGACCCTTGACATTTATTTGAAAATGAAGCATGACTGATTTCAATGTTCTTTTTTTTAATTAACTCATTGTTCCTTTCGAAAATTCCTTTTAATTTAAGACTTTTGAGGATGTGTTACCGTAGCATTGTGTTCAAATAATGAGAATGGACTTACTTTTTGTTTCTCAGTTCTTATCTACCTGTTATAAATTTAGAAAAGACCTTGGAATGGAGAAGATTAATTTTGTAAATTGTCCAATAAGATCTTCGGCTGGCTTCTGAATTCTTTTCCTTCTTCCTTTTTTCTTTCTTCAGTTGCATGCTGTTGTGTTACTTTACAACTACTACCAGAGGAAGCAAAATCCACAGGCACAAAATTTAGACTTTGAGTCATTTTGCAAGTTGGCTGTGGCTCTAAAACCGGCTTTGGTTTCATACATGAAGTTCATGAATCAATCTGATCCAACTGGCTCCAAGGACACGGACAATGATCTTTCTGTAGCTGAAAAAGCAATTCAAGATGCTTGCAATATATCTTGCGCTTTAGATGCCTCCAAAAATGTTCCGTCTATAAACAAATGGCTAATTGCCAAAGCTTCTGTCTTATTACTAGACTCTAAGAAAGAAACTTGTTGGCTGCTTTATAGTTCTGTCACAGATGGCGTCTGGTCTCTCCTCGAAAAAAATCGTGAGCTTCCCTCTGCTGAAATTGAAGGTATGGTGGAGGGAAAACATCCAAACAAAAAGAGGCGAACCAGTATGAGACCAGTGACGGTAGAGCAAAAAGATGATGACTCTGGCTTTCAGCAGTTTGCGTTTTTGGCTGTCAAGGATGCAACAGGTATGTGAATATCAGAATTATATTTGTAATATATTTCTAGATTGGCAAAATTAATTTGTGCCTAGGCTGCTCTAGATCGTAAGCTGATTTCCTAAGTTCTTAGAATGCTGTGAGAAAGCACGAGAGAAAAAATATTATTCATTATCTAAAGTGTTGTATAATGCCCTATTTATATACAGTGATTACATAATAATATGTATCTACTTCCCGATGTGGGACACTATACATGACTAACTACTTAACACTCCCCCTCAAGTCGGTGCATATAAACATATGTACCGAGCTTGTTATAGATGTGACTAATACGAGAACCAGTAAGAGACTTAGTGAAAATATCTGCTAGTTGATCATTCGACTTCACAAACTTTGTAACAATATCTCCTGAGAGTATCTTTTCTCTAATAAAGTGACAGTCGATCTCAATGTGTTTAGTCCTCTTATGGAACACCGGATTTGACGCAATGTGAAGAGCAACTTGATTATCACACACCAGTTCCATCTTGCTGATTTCTCCGAACTTCAACTCCTTGAGTAACTGCTTGACCCAAACTAGCTCACACGTTTCCATAGCCATGGCCCGATATTTGGCTTCGGCGCTAGATCGAGCAACTACATTCTGTTTCTTGCTCTTACAAGAGATCAAATTACCTCCTACTAGAACACAATATCCAGACGTAGAACGTCTATCAGAAGGTGATCCTGCCCAATCAGTATCTGTGTACCCAACAATCTGCTCGTGGCCTCGATCCTCGAATAGTAATTCTTTGCCTGGAACTGACTTTATATACCGAAGAATGCGAACAATGAATACATAAACTGACTTACAACACTCACCGGAAAATAAATGTCAGGTCTAGTAACCGTGAGGTAATTCAATTTGCCAACCAACCTCCTATATCTCGTAGGATCTCTAAGAGACTCCCCCTGTCCAGGCAGAAGAAGCTTAGCATTCGGATCCATAGGAGTGTCAACAGGTCTGCAACCCATCATTCCAGTCTTCTCAAGAATGTCTAAGACATACTTCCACTGTGAAATAACAATACCTGAGCTAGACCGAGCGACCTTAATACTTAGAAAATACTTCAATCTTCCCAGATCCTTAGTCTGGAAGTACTGAAAGAGATGCTGCTTCAGATTAGTAACACCATCCTGATCATTGCCAGTAATAACAATATCATCAACATAAATCACTAGATAAATACACAGATTAGGAGCAGAATGCTGATAAAACACAGAGTGATCAGCTTCACTACGAGTCATGTCGAACTCCTGAATAACTGTGCTGAACTTACCAAACCAAGCTCGAGGGGACTGTTTCAAACCATATAGTGACCTGCGCAATCGGCATACAAGACCACTAGACTCCCCCTGAGCAACAAAACCAGGTGGTTGTTCCATATAAACTTCTCCCTCAAGATCACCGTGGAGAAAAACATTCTTAATGTCTTAACTGATAAAGAGTCCAATGACGTACAACAACCATGGACAAAAAGAGACGAACAAATGCTACTTTAGCCATGGGAGAGAAAGTATCACTATAATCAAGCACAAAAATCTGAATGCATCCTTTTGCAACAAGACGAGCCTTAAGCCGATCAACCTGACCATCTGGGCCGACTTTGACTGCATAAACCCAACGACAACCAACAGTAGACTTACCTGAAGGAAGAGGAACAAATTCCCAAGTGCCACTCGCATATAAAGCAGACATCTCGTCAATCATAGCCTGTCGCCATCCTGGATGAGATAGAACCTCACCTGTAGACTTAGGGATAGAAACAGTGGACAAAGATGATATAAAAGCAGAATGAGGTGATGATAGACGATGATAACTTAAACCGACATAATGGGGATTAGGATTAAGTGTGGATCGTACACCTTTGCGGAGTGAAATTGGTTGACTAAGAGGAGACAAGTCCGCAGTAGGTGCAGAATCTGATGCAGGACGTGAATCACCTGGGCCTGATGCTGGACATAGACGACGATGATAAGTCAAGAGTGGTGGAGCTGCAGAAGGTTAAACTGGACTAGGTGGTGGAACTGGAGCTATAGGTGGTGGAGCTAGAGTTGTAGAAGAAGATGAATGGGAGATAGTGACTGAATCTCCAAAAGATGAAACTGGTAGCACCTCAGAAATATCTAAGTGATTACCTGGACCTGTGAAGTATGATTGGGTTTCAAAGAAGGTAACATCAGCAGACATAAGGTACCGCTGGAGGTCAGGAGAATAGCAATGATACCCTTTTTGCGTTCTCGAGTAACTCAGAAATACGCACTTAAGAGCACAAGGAGCTAACTTATCTTTTCCTGGAACAAAACACATGCTTCCAAAGACACGGGGTGGAAGAGAGAACAAAGGTAAGTAGGGAAACAGGACAGAGAATGGAACTTGATTCTGGATAGCACAAGATGACATATGATTAATAAGATAGCAAGATGTAAGAACTGCACCCCCCAAAAAGAGATTGTATGAGTAGGGTACGAGCAGTTTCAATAAGATGTCTATTCTTTCTTTCAGCTACCCCATTTTGTTGAGATGTGTACGGACAAGATGTTTGATGAATAATCCCATGAGAGTTCATAAACTGCTGAAAGGGGAAGACAAATACTCTAGGGCATTATCACTACGAAATGTGCGGATAGAAACCCCAAATTGATTTTGAATTTCAGCGTGGAAGGTCTGGAAAATAGGAAAGAACTCAGATCGATTTTTCATCAAAAATATCCAAGTGCACCTGGAATAATCATCAATGAAATTGACAAAGTACCGGAATCCCAAGGTAGAACTGACACGACTAGGACCCCAAACATCTGAATGGACTAAAGTAAAAGGTGACTCTGCTCGATTATCAAGACGCCGAGGGAAATGGGAGCGGGTATGCTTACCGAGCTGACATGACTCACACTCTAGAGTGGATAAGTGAGATAAATCAGGTATCATTTTCTGAAGTTTTGACAAATTGGGATGTCCTAACCGTTTATGTAATAAATCTGGTGAATCGGTAACAGGACAAGTTGTTGAAGGAAGACAAGATGTGAGTCCATGTGATGTTGCAAGGATAAGGTAATAAAGTCCATCTGATTCACGCCTGGTACCAATGATCCGCCCTGACTGTGTTCCTGTATAAAAACAAGTTCATCAAGAAATAAAACAGAGCATTTAAATGATTTGGCAAAGCGACTAACGACTATGAGATTAAAAGGACTATCGGGAACATAAAGAACTGAATCTGAAGGTAAGGAAGTGGACTTGCTTGACCTATTTCAGTTGCCATGGTTTGAGATCCGTTGGCCATTGTGACTGTTAGAAAAGATTGAGAATATGACATAGTAGTGAAAAGAGATTTGTTACCAGAAATATGATCAGATGCACTTGAATCAATGACCCAAGAATCGGATGATGAAGATTGGGAGACACAAGTCACGCTATTACCTATTTGAACAACGGAAGCTATCTCTGAAGATGTCTGTTTACATACTTTGTACTGAAGGAACTCAATATAATGGTAGAGAGACCATCCAACTATTCATAGTATTGGATCCCATTTCGCTACAACCAATTTCTCAAATTCTTGACCAAAAGTTGTATGGTTAATCGTGGAATGCCAAGTCAGAACAAGTTAAGTTAGAGCCTCCTTTTTTTCCTTAGTTAGATGAAGCTGGAAACAAAAGCAAGCTGAAACTTGGAAATAACTGCCGGAACAATAAAAAGTCGTCGGATTTTGGTGTAACCTGGATGGGTAGGCTTGGAAACACCTCGCGACCAAACTGTCCTCAAGAAGGTTTGCCGGAAAGTGGCCGGAAACAACTAGACGCACCGGCAGATCTCTCGCTTCTGACGGCGCGTGTGAGTGCGTGAGGCGTCCTTTGCCGGAGATTCTGGCTGGGGTTTGCTCGCCGGATGATACTTAACCTTATGGTGGTGTTGGTTTTCGCACAACGCCAACAAAAAAGGGACTGACGCCGGGCAGCCACCGGATTTCGCGCAGTGACTGTTTTTTTTTCCTTCCCGGAGTCGCTTGTATTTTTGCACAGCGATGAATCTCTCACGTTAGCTCTGATACCATGTGAGAAAGCAAGAGAGAAAAAATATTATTCAAGTGTTGTACAATGCCCTATTTATATACAATGATTAATAGGTATCTACTTCCCGATGTGGGACACTATACATAACTAACTACTTAACAAATGCCTTTGCTAGCAACAAGTGTCTTAAATAGTGTTTTCTCATGCCTGGGCAGAGAAAGAACTGGTCGACAGTGCTTTGACCTAGGCAGTGCGATCTTTCTGTTCCTGTTTTATAAAAATGAACTTCTTGAGTTACAGGTTTGTTCTGATTTAGAGAGTCATTGTGTCATGATGAGACTTTACTTGATATGGACAGGTATTTCTCGGTCTGACCTTGTGGTTTTGGAGAAGCATGTGGTATATTCACTAACTAAAGAAAAGACAGCATCTTGCTTTTACATCATGCAATGTAAATCAATCAATCAGGACATTCAAATTCCTGTCAAGGAGATTTTTGAGAGGTTAGTTCTTGTTTTTTTAACTGCTTTGGCTTAGAGAATAATTGGGCTTATTTTATCAAGGGTAGTTTAAGAGATGGGCTTTTTCTACAAGAACTCTTGTATCTCTAGTCTTAGATTAGCTCATTTGTTTGATGATACTGATACTTTTTGTGAAGAAATGATGTGATGGTTTCTCAAGTTCATCAATATTTACTTTCTTTGACAGAATCACGTGAATAAGTAGAATGATTCGTTTGTATACTCTTGTCCTTGAAGAGCAATTTAAAGTAGGTTAATGGCATTAACTATGCGGAGTTTGAAGATTATAATATCGTCTTGTGTTGTTATGGGTCGAACATTGATAAACTCACAGTCAGAGAACAATCCTAAACATCCACTAGGTGAAGTCAAAAGGCATAATTGCTTAAATATGTCAGTAGCATTAATTCATATATTCTGGTACCTTTTACTGCTAGAAAAAGAAAAGTGATAACTGTTTATCTCTGTAGTTTACAGGGTCCATTGGTGAAAAAGAGTTCTGGTAGTTGGTCCACTACAGAAGTAGTTGAGTACTTTCATCTGCTTCCCTATGCCAATATCATGTCAGCCTTTCTTTTGAGGTACCTTCAATTTCAGTTGGGCTTTGTTTGTGGTGAGTTGTCAATAGATCTTGCTTTGATAGTCATTCATTGTCTGGCTTAATTGGGTTTTCGTTCTACTTTGATAGCCAGAGTGTAGAGGAACCTGTAGAAAAGATAGAAGCAAAGACGCCTGATGAAAGTTATGAAGCTTTAATTGGAACAAAGTCAGATCGTATAAACCTAGAAATTTCAGAGGCAAAACATGGTGATGGTCGCGAAAAAGTTAGTCGTTCTGCAGTTGGTCAAGAAGCAACTGTTGTAGATGGCCACCAGAGGATAAGGAAAAGTGAAGAAGCTGGGAGAGATAGTTCAATTAAAAATACAGAAATTGTAGATTTCAGTGATGATAAGCTATCTGATGTCAACTTGGAATGTCTAAATGATACAAGTAAAAAGGTACACCACGAAAATAGCAGAGACTATAAAGATTCAACTGCAAAAGAATTGTATGATACCATCAACCGTCCAAGGACACAAGAAGATAAAGCCGAGGAGCTGGTGAAGTCCACTAAAAGCTGTGAAATCAATGATTTTAATGGAATGGAGTTAGCTGGTGCTCATCCTGAACCTTTGGAGGTGCAAGTGAATGATGATTATCACTTTTCTAGGTCTCCTACTAGGCCTCAGAGGATGGACATGGATGCTTGTATTCCCTGCTCCAAAAATGGAAACAGTAAGGATCGTAAGCTTATTACAAAGGTTTACCATCACGAGAAAAAGAGGACGAGGGTGAGTGGTGGAGAAATCATTGGAGGTGGTGTAATTTGCAAGGTAAGACATTTTCAGTTAATGTAGTAAAAGTTTTGAATTTACGATGCATTGGTCTTATTTGTTCTTACTAATCCTCCCTTTCTCTTTTCAAGAGCATTCGTGAAATTACCCACTTGGGATGAACTAGCGATCAATATTTTAAATGAAGGGAATTTCATCAAGAAATAGCACAATTTTTAAATAGAACTCTTTTCTTCTTTTCCTTAAGTTTTTACGGTTGTGCATTCTGTGCTGGTTCCAAAGCAGACATTAATTCCTTTCCCTGATAAATCTGTGATACATTCAATTGCAGTTTTGGATGATATACATTCTTTATTTTAATATGTATCTTCCTCAAGCCTTGTACAGGGGAGGCATCCACTAGTAACATGAGGAAACCCAATATAGTAACATGAGGGAAAACTCTAAGGGCACTTTGTGTTAAAGAGTTTCCTCATGTTACTATATTGAACTTTGTTGAATGATGCTTGAGATAGTGGTTGAAATGGTAGTTTGTAAAAGAGATACTACAAGAAGTTGACAAGGGAAAAATAATGTGGATTTATGCCCTTATCCTAATGTGAGTACCTGGAAATAGCGAACTTTTCCTTTTAGTAAAAAATAAATCAAAAGAATTGGATGGACTATATTGGAGATCTAGACTGAGGCAATGTGTGATGGAGGATATAGTTTTATTCTTCGGGAAGGACATACAGCTGCTGCTGCCTTTTATTAGGCATTATTGTAACTCCTTAGGCATCAAATCAAGTTGATGGAAGTCCTTTGCTTTTTCATTTTTTTTCCTGGAGATGAGAGAATCCCCTTCATTCTTCATTTCATTGTCATATTTGATACCAAGCATTATTTGCAGGCAGAAAGAACTGATGAAGGGAAGGCTGGTAAAGAGTGTGGCCTTTCCACTATCTCACCTAATCGAAATGGGATTTCAGTGGCACATACTGCATTTGTTCCTTATCAGCATGATACTATGGATATAGGCGATTTACAAACTGTTTTGGCTTCAAAAGAGAAGGCTTTAACTCAAAGTGCCCTTAGAGTTCTTCTTGATAAACGAGAGAAACTGGTAATTTTATGTTTGGTATGACGTAGAATATGTGTCAAGAGCCTTCTCATTTGTTTATTTGCTATTAATACTGCTGTTATTCCTTGATCAATTTAAATTTGAAAATCAGTGTTTGGAAAGTTTGGAGATGTCCCTTTTGTTGTGTCAGGTCTTATAGACAACAGAGCAATGGGTTCCAAACTAAAATCCAATTGCTATTGTTTCCAGCTCCAATGCTCTAAATGATTAGCAATATACTTACGGCTTTTTTCTGATCTATGCTGGTGAGCTGATAATTCAATTAATATTACTGATAGGACCACATTTATTTTTTCCTTTTCCCTTGGATCTTCCTAAGTATATTTTAATCAATCTTAATTCATTGTTTTTTCATCTGACTTCTGCTTAATCCAAAATGAGACACTAGGTTCACCTATTAATTCGTCAGTTGGACTTTTTTGTAAGACGAAGACTATGATGTATATTTTCTGAACTGACCACTTAAAATGTCAATGAAATGTTCATCCTTCAAAATATAGTCCGGTAATATATTATGGTCCTTAGCTATGTACTTTTAATGGGCCAAAAGTCTTGTGGAGTTTTCCTTTTTCTGTCTCTTATGCCTTCTGAATTATTTTACTATTATTTTTCTTATTTCCATTTTAAAAATTTTGTGGAGTAGCTTTTTAAATCTGATTAGTGGAGCTTACACTTTATTTGGTTCTCAGTAATATCAAGTTGCATTCATTTCTTGGCAGTGTCATCAACAACATAAAATAGAAGATGAAATAGCATTATGTGATAAAAGTATTCAAAGAATCTTAGATGGTATGATTTCTATCTCAGGCTTTAGTAGCTTTTTTTGTTTCAGTTTCTTTGTGCTAGTATTACTCTTTTTACATGACTTGGTACTGTATGGATCAAAATTATTTTCTTCTGCTTGTTGTTTGTTTTTCCTCCTCACTTGTTTGATCTTTTTTAAGAAATGAATGTCAAATGAACTTACTAGTTGCCTCTGTATCTCCTTTTAGACCCATTTTATTCCAAGCTGACATGGTGAGTGTGTAGTGGGCATGTCGTAATCAATTCAACCTTTAGGAGATTCATCATAGTTAGACTATTCTCATGCTGGTTGTCAAACCTACCCGCAGCCCTCCTTTATACATATGCTTGGGACTGAAGGAAGTCAAAACTAAAGTAATTACTCCATTTTTTGACCTCAACTGATGTATGAATATAAAACCTTGACGCATTATCATGTTAGAAATTATCAAATGCAAAAAATCAGTATTGCGGAGTTGGATAACTGAAGTACTGAACATGGAAGACTCATAGCATTGTATTTCTTCTCTCTTTGTTAAGCAATTAGATACAGTTACTTGTGCATAAAAGCTGCACTCAAAACAACTACAAAAGCTATCAATACTATATCTCACATCGTAAGTGTATTACCAGTTTTATCATGTATGGACAGATGTTGAAGTTGATAACGTAACTGTTATGCATGGAGTACAACAAAGACCCTAGGGTGCTTTGTCCTAAGTTAAGAGNGGTGGTGAAGGGGTACAGAGTGTGGTTGAGAACTGTGATTAAATGAGGCTTTGGTGGCCAAGTTTCCTTGTGGAGGTTTTGATTCCTCGTCATGATTTCGTAGTTTCTTGGAGTTGTGAACTACTCAGAACTGCTGTGTCATGAACTTGATCTAAATTACTGAAGGTCAATGTGCTCATGTTATTTTAAAGCCTTGTAGGTGGCAAAGATAATTTGGCTTTAAAACTAGAAACGCTGCTGGGCTTCTGTGATGAAATGTGCTTGAAGGATAGAGCTGCTATCCAAGAAGAAGGCCATCAACCTGACGAAGAGCTTGGCTTGGTTCAACCTATGAGTGGAAGGAAATTGCCCAAAGCTGTACGCACTTCACTACGTGCATCTCAGGCATGTTTTGGCATCCGAACTTGCTTGAATTTTATCTCTCCTCTTTTCTCAGTGTTTGTTCCATGCTTTATAACTTGATCATTTCCATGTAGATTAATGATGTCTTGTGCTCTTGGTATGCTCAAGCATCATGTCTGATAATTTGTTCTTGTGCCCCTTAGTGTGTTGGATGATCCTTAAGAAATGCTTGTGTTGACCATACAATACTATCAGCCTTGCCTGCACGGGACTATATGTCATCTCTTTTATGATTGCTCACATTTTTTCCATTTTCTGAATAGCATCTTATGAAGCATTTACTCTGTTGTCATTTTCCCCAATTAAATGTAACAATTTTTCTTTTGGCAGGACTTGTATCAAATATGTTGTGTGAATAACTGGATGTTTCCATCATATAGTGTGTCAGCAATAGACGGTATATCATTTTTCATATATGCGAATGTTTTTTTTTAAACAGATAGATTACATTGATGTGAATATTAGATGGCTTCTCATGTATTACTGCTACTACAGTGTGCTTATGCATTTTTTTTTAAATTTCTAATAAAGATGGTGTAACAGCTACTCGAAAGGGGGTTAGCTGGAAAACTTGCTTTAGGGAAATTCCACAACGGAATGGGAGGGTAAATTTAGGGGCCATATAAGGGTGAGTTCAGGATTTAACTGTTGAGGCACCTTTTGGGTTAAAGCCTAGGAGGAAAAAAAAAAATCGTGAGGCACAAAAACCTTGAGGTGGCCCAGAGCTACCGGGCCAAAGCGGATTATACCTTGGCAGTTGGGCCTGGGCCGTGATTGATAGTTGAGAACATCTGGTTGCTGATTATAACGATCAAATGTTTCTTGAAACAAAGAGATGGAAGTAGATCTTCCTTTAAGACAACAAAAAAGATGTGAACTTAATTTTCCTTTTGGCCTGTTGGAACCCTGATGCTGTCTTGTCTTATCACCCCTAAAACGACAAGATCACATCATTTCTATTTGCACGAGCAGTTGCAAATGAGTTTATTCTGTTCAATGAACTTGGAGTAAATCAGTGTATGCTTCTCTCACTTTATTCGTCTCCCAGGCATACATGTGCTTGTACTGGTGAATGTCTATGTGTACTTGCTCTCAAACTTTCTCACTGGCACTTCCCCTGTGCAACTTCTGGCGCATCACTCGAACATACTCTTCTACTCCACTGGCCTTGTCTTGGGTTTTCTAATATTCCACCGTACCTAATGAGGGTTTTGACAACATTAACCTCATCTTCAACCATATCATGTGACGATTCTTTCATCTACTGCCCTTACCTACCCAGACCTTGCTTCACAATACGTAGTGATTTTGAAATAAGATGCGATTCCTTTTAGGCATTTTAGTACAATGTGCTTAGACTTTTTATTGTTTATTTCCCGTGAAAGAACTTCATCTTTTAACATGAAACCCACTTTTGACATTTCCTTCCCCGTTATAATTTTCATTTGTTTCTGTGGTGAAATTCCCAAGATTGTGCAACTCTCCAAGATTTTTGTTCTATCTTTCCATTAATGCTGCACTGCTGAACGTACTGCATTGAGGGGGGGTTCATCTGTCGGGCAAGCTAGTAACACCTATTTATTGTCTGAAACACAGTTTCCCTCTGATAAAAAGGAAAACAGAAATTCCCAATATTGGCTGCTCATAGAATCTAATTTTATGACATTTAATGGGTACTCATTCCGTTTAAATTTCCAGATTCAACTAATCTTTTCAGTTCATTTTCTTATAGGTGGATTTCATGCTAGAGTTAGTTTACAGGGGGTTGACTTTCTATATTCTTGTGAGAGTGATCTGCATTCCAGCCCCTCTGAAGCACTGGAGTCAGCTGCATTTCAGATGATTACCAAATTACAGACTATGGCAGATCACATGCATTAGATTGCATGATAGCAAAGAACATCAACACCAACATTTTCAAATCCTATTTCTAATGCTTCAGTTAGATACTGAAGGAACTCTATCCAATTTGCTGCATTCGGTGGTTTTTGTCTGTATTTGAGTTCAGAGGATGGCAATTCAACTACTAAATTCGGCTATCTTGTAGGCAGCTTAGTTCTCTAGTTTCCAGGATAGTAAAACTGTTAATCCTTTGTGGGGTATAACCCATTGTTTAGTCTAATTTGACTCGGCTCATCTTAACTCAGCTAAACTTTAGAACAGAGCGGGTCATGGCCATCTAATGATTCAAATCATTTTGACCCGCACAAATTTAGCTCAACCTCACATATTCTTCGTAAGCAGATCCTATTAGTATGTGTCATAATTAAGGTAACAAATTGTGTCCCATATCTCTGCCTCTTTTTTTCATTTATATTTTGGCAAAAGAGAATCAGTGGCTCAACTTAACTTAGCATTCTTGTTATCGTTAACATGGAGTTTGCATTTTGATTAGAAGTTTAGAACTATATGCTGCCATCGCCCTAAAACAGTAGAACAACAAAAGTAAATAGAAAAAAGGAGGAATTTAGTCTTTGCATTTGATTTGTCTTTGTCGTGAGAGTGAAATCAATAACTAGCCGGTTAAGATGCTATACACGGTGAACAATTAATTCATTATTTAGTTCAAGATTATTCTCACAAATTACTAACAGCATCATTTGAGAAAAAAAAGTTTAAAATCGTAATCTCACAGAGTTATTTCTCCCTCCGTAGTCCGTTCACAGAAAAAAAGAGGGAAAGAAAATGTAGAGAAGCAAGTCAATCTTTTGGGCCCCTTTGGGCATCGAAAGAAACCAATAAATGAAGTCCAAGTGTAGAATATTAGGATAAGGAGAATAGTAATTTGTAGAGGAGGTTTAAACAAGCAGATATCTAGAAGCAATCCACAAAAGAGGTGCCACGTGTAAGATTGTAAATCACAAATTGTAAGTCTTGACTAATATTATTATGAAGGGACCATGCCAGCCTAAAGAAGCACATTTACAAGTATAGAGTCAGAAGAAAAGAGAGCATAGGAAATGGCAAGCACAGTAATGAGCCTCAAACCTGCACCTTTCAGTGTGGAGAAGACAGCAGTGAAAGGACTGCCATCACTTGCTAGGTCTTCTTCTTCCTTCAGAGTTCAAGCCAGTGGTGTCAAGAAGCTTAAGACTGACAAGCCTTACGGTATATATATATATATTTCTTCCTTCGATTCTTTAACTCCGACTTTAACTTAATTATATACACCAATACTATTGCAACTTTTACATTATTGGTTCAATTTTATCTATTGTAAGAGGTTCTTATCATGTTTTACATCTTACTAATCCATGTTTGTTATTAAAGTTAATTACTTTACTTAGATTTTATGGATTTTTACGCAAATAGTCCGCCAGATTCATAGTCTACTTTTTCTAGACGGTATACATAAATTAAACACTTGAGCGGTTTGGTTGACGGCTATTTAGGTTAATTCTTCTAGATTCTTAGGTGACCTAATTGTAAAAAAAAATAAAATAAAAAAATAATAATAATAAAAAAAAATTATGTGTTATAATTTACATATAATATAACTTATTTACACAAGTTATAATTACTTTTAAAAAATTACATTAAATACAATTTATTTTAAAATCTATAACTTATATCCCTAATATCTCCCTTGAGATTCTCTCACCTAAAATGTATCTGAGATTCTGTCTCACCTAAAATGTATCTATCCGTATTAACTTCCCACCAATTTCTCCATTAAAAAATTCGAGTATATCCCCATGTCCCTAGCCGCTTTCCTCCCTTTTACATAGATATAAGTCGTCCCCGAATGTGTAGAAAATAATGTCACCCCCGTCCTCCCTCCACCCCCTACAAAATGCTGATACCTTTCTTCATACTCCTTTACAGTATATTTCTTAATCACCCAATTTGACTTCTCCCTACAATTACTATAATTAAATACAGTAACAATATATAGTAATATATTATATATTATATATAGGATATTATATACTTATATATGTGTATACATTATAATAAATTAAAGGTAAACTGTAATAAAATTGTTCTATATTGGATTTTAAAGTGTTAATTAACGTTTGTATATTGTATAATTACATATAATATATGATATATATGTTTTACATATTGTGTATTATATGTTATATAATATATAATTGTTAAACATAATAACTCATCATATTTCTTGAAGATTGATTTTCTCTAATTAAAATGATGCTGCGAAGATGAATTGACTGTAGAAAAATATTCCTACTATAAGTTTACCAAGGTGGACAATGAAATTGAAAGAACCAAAGAATCCCAAGATGGAGAACCTATTTTAATGAAGGATACAATGTATTTTTTTGGGGATCCATTGTGGTTATGAGATAGTGTTATCATGATAAACTAAAGCATTTATAGTAATAATTTATAATTAATAAAATTGAGAATTTTAAGAGACTAATTATGGATACTTTTCACGATCAGACGCCTTTTTACAGGTACTCATCCTTATATTAGGGTACATTTTTATAGATCATTTTTATGTTGTAGAATATATAATTATTTTAATAGTTGTAGATTATGAATTTTTTGTGAATCCGTAAGTAAACATGAAAATTCGTCAATCTCTTGGGAAAAGGTCCAAATCGACCCTAGTACTATACAAAGTATC